TTAAAAAGGTATTGTAGCAAGCCAGGGCAGTCAGGTTGTATTCAGGTAGGTATTAGAAAAGAGTCTGTTTTTGTCTTCCTATCTGGGTGGCCATATGTGTTTGTCTTTAGTTGTTTTTCGTTCCTGTTGTGATATTGTGAGCATCTATCTATGTGTGTGTGTTTCTGAGCAGGTGTGGCTGTTTTTACGTGTCTGGTGTGTATTTGTGTCAGCGCACTTATGTGTTGGTGGTTGAGATTCTGTTTAAGTATGTTCCTCTGAGCTTTGGTGTCTGTGTGTGCGTTTTTTCCCCCCTCTTTTGTGTGCGCGTGTGAGTGTGTAAACGCGTGTGTCTTTCGCCACTGTGCACCGGTAGCCGAAGCCCCGCAGACAGACAGCAGGCCAGCGTGGTGCGGGGTGGACTCCTCTGGAATACCAATGAGGGGAGCTGCTGGGCTCCGGGGGTCAGGGAGCAAGTCAATCATCTTGCCCATCGCCTGGGCGCCCCGAATCAAATTAGCCTGAAAAATTCAGGGGCCGGGAGCACGGGGCGAGCAGCTGTCAGGGCCAAGAGCGCCCAGGCACTAATGAACCAGATGAATGGAGCAAAAACTCCAAAATAAAAACAGGACAGTTGACATTTTTCATCTGTCAAAAGCAGAAGATGCATGAAAATATGGTGGTCCTTGTTTAACCCTTTGCTGGCTACAGCTGCTACTCGCCCCTGACCCCCCTCTGTGGCCACACTTCCACAGGTACGCACACCGCATGTAAACAGTCAAAGCCGCCACTGCGTTATCATCTCGCTAAATGCCGTTCTACAGTACTGCACGTTGCAATTATCCTGAGGAACTCATCGCAAGAGCGGCGGCACGCTGCCAAGACAGATGTTGCTATGAAATTACTCTATAGGTATATCATCTACTATATATGAGTGAAAAAAAAACATGTAGCCTTTTTTTCACTGGAAAACACACCAAATGCAGTCTGGCCAAAATGCACTCATTCACAGAGCCCATTACTGTCACACACACAGACACATTCCCATCCCTGTAACTGATGGAGGAACAAGAAGGACATCAAATCTAGCATTTATCTGCAAAAAAATAGGTTTTGTATCCATTATTTTTATCCTACCTATCAGAAGTAGGTACCTGAAAGTACCTGTGCAAGTTCTTCCTCCATTTTTAATGTAATATTTAGTAGTACTTGTTGAGGTTTGTCGAGTGCCACTTTTACCAATGGATTTAAAGAAAATTGCCCTGCACCGCACAACTCACATTTTTGTTTGTTATTCATCTTTCAACTTTTTTTAAAAACACATTTTACGATGTAGGTACAATACTCAATGGTACGAAACAGTATATAGAAACAGTTGACAGATTAATGCGTAGTCGACACTTTTCACGTTTTAGTAAATCATAGCAGCTTGAATAGCAGTTGTTTATATAGTAATTGATTGTGTTTCGCTTTGTTAGCTTGATTTGATGCGCCAAAATGTATCTTTTTGTATTCTCAGTGCAACCACAAAGTGTAACAAAACTGTCTTCTACAATCAGTTTTCTCCTTTCTACTCTCTTTTCGAATATAATACAATGACAGTTAATTTTAATAGCTCAGATATTTGAATCATTGGTGTGCGGTGGTGTTCTGAAATAAGGAGGCTAAGGCCTGTTTTTTTTTCTTTTTTTTTTTTTTCTAAATCAAATGTAAATTCATGTAAATTCATCACATTTTCTTGGTTAAATACACATTAATTACACTATCAGGAAAAACTAATCTATTTCATATTTAAGTCAAGTATGAATCTCATCAAGTTAGTGTTTTTAAGCATTTTATATTTATTTCAAAATGATAACACAAAGCAGTAACAATTTAAACAATATATTTTATTTGTGAACTTATGTTCAGCTATTCTTTTTAATATTTAATTTCTAACTATTTTAGAATTTTTCAGGTCATCAGTCATCAAAGATCGATAAATATTGATCACATGAGATTTATTTAAAATTTCACCAAGCTAATTACTCGCTAAAAACTGTTTACTTGTTTGCTTAATTTTAAAAATTAAATTAGTGTTAAATTGAATGTTTTGGAGCTGCTTTGATAGAAGGCAGTGATTGGATCTAAAACTTTCAGATGGCATAACTCACATTTTCGTTTGTTATTCATCTCTTTTTGCTTTAGCAAAGTCATGCCTCGTTTCACAGAACATCACTGTCCTTTTTTGCATCCTTAGTTACTTTTTTTCGTGTCGGTATGCTTTTTTGGGACAAGAACTCTACAAGAAAAAACTGCAACACCACACAGGCTAACCAAACTCTTTCTTAAATACAAGTGTGAATCTTAAAAATTTAAGTGACTTTGGTAATAGAATTCGATTATCATTTTCGTTTGTATGTCATTTAACTGTATTTTTGCTGCTGTGTGAATGCAGGCATTGACACTTAGGTGTGGTCTGTTTGGACTTGCGCTAACACAATACCCCAACACGAGTTGACGAGTTTTGCTCTGGCACATTTAGATCATATACAAGAAGTTCTGGTTGCTGTAAGAGTGCTACATGTTATAGAAACATCCCAGTCCTCCCAGTTCCAGCACTGCCAGTGATCAGAGAGGGCACTCCCCCTTCCTTCCTCCGCCCCTCCCGTTCCCATTTCGTGCGGAGCAGCGATGAATCCGGCTCTGCTCCATGAGTTCTGCTACTCCGCACTCCTCTCCTCCGCTCCTCCTCTGACAGCCCAGACCGTCGTTTCGCCTCGCTCGATCACACCCCCCCTCACCCCCACCCGTTAACTCGCTCGCCATTTCCTCTCTGTCCTTCTATGTCAATTTAATTGAGTTCTCGTCCAGTGTGCGTTTGCGGTGTAGTGGTTTCGTGCGAGTACTGTGTGGCTTGCATGCTTGGCATCTGGAAAGCTTTTTTCTGAAAATGTCCTCACCCACAGTCAGTGGATTTGCTTGGGGCTGTTTTTGCCAGTCTGATTTTGCAGTATCATAATCTCATAACGTCATCAAAGCATCGCCTTCCTGGCTGAGCGGGATTGCACAGCTCCAGGCTACCAGGATGCACTGCATGTCTTCAGTACCACCATGATTTATGTCCTGGAATTGTGACGTCGACAGTGTTGTTCATCTCTTTCTGGCTTTTTTCCACAAAACATATACTGAAAAGCTGAAATGTCACAGTCCTTTTTCTAAGGCTTTATTGAGACAGACATCCATAAATTTCCTTTGTAAGTGTTTCAGTCCAGATATAGAAAGCTAATTGGCCATGAGTTGGCAAATGTGTCCAAATTAATGATGACAAACTTAGTTCATGTACATTTTTAAAGTGTTGGTTCTATAGGAGATACTTGCCATCTGTGATTAATGGTAAAGCACGTCATCAGTTACTCACTCTCATGTCATTCAAAACCTGTATGACTTTGTTTCTTCTGCTGAACACAGAAGATATTTTTAAAAAGCATCTTAGTGTTTTTGTCCAAACCGTGAGTCAATAGGTTCTGATGGGGTTGTTTCCATTACATATATGGACAAAAAAGCAGCGATCCACCAAAATTGTGGCAATAGAAAATATAGTCAAAACATCACAAAAAACAAAAAAAAATTTGGTTTCCGATGAAGTCATTTGACCAAAACAGTGAAATTGAATTATTTTGTCTCCGATGACATGTTCTGACTATCATTGTCCATTTTGAAGAATGTTCCAGCCGTTTTTATCCCTACATTGAGAGTCAATGGGGTCCAAAACAACAACTTTGGACCCCATTGACTTCCATCGTATGTGCAAAAAACACTGAGATGTTTTCCAAAAGTCAGGTCTGGAAAGACATGAGGGTGAAAAAATGAATTTTATGCCAAAAAGTTTAATTAGCTTGTCTATGATGACATGTTTTGACTGTGTCAGCATCCATTTTGCCCACACAACATGGATAGGATGCAACAGGTAAACGTGAGCAGTGTGGACTCACTTCACCTTGATTTAACAAATGATGCTTGAGTAGCCATTTATAAAACTTGTTCACCCAAAAATATAGAGAAGTGGCTCGTTGCCCAAGAAATTTACTAAGACTGGTTTAATTTATCACCTGAGAACATGACAACCCAAACAGTATAAATAGTTCAACTACACAATTTCCCAAATTTAATTACTAATTGAACTTTAATTTCAGTTTCTGCGTTTCTGTAAAAAAATCATTTTGGTGTGTAACTACAAACACTATTCAAAATATCTTCATTTGTGTTCAGCAGAAGAATAAAAGTTGTACAGATTTAGAATGACATGTTGGTGAGTAAATAATGTCATTATAGTTTTCATTTTTTCCCCCTTTTCACAAGTAAAAATACAACTTTGAGTCAAAACAGTGAAATTGTAAGTTAAATGAGCCAGTGAAATGCTCAAAATAAGTACATTTGTCTCCACACATCAGTTGAATTCTATCTTAATACTGCAAGAAGCTAAACATCCTATAGTTAGGCTAATTAATTTATTATATTTTGAAAAATGTTTATTGTGCTTAATATCATTAATGTAACGCACAGTGTCTTGGGAGTGACATGATACATGCTCTGTAAACTTGACTCTTAGCTTTCTGACGTCTTGAGCAAACAGATGGCAGTTGTCTGCTGCCGTCTATGACATGGGGCACCGTAGTCTCTTCCACAAACAGTCAGCCCCTGCTTGATGAAGATTTAGTGTGCGTTGCAGGATTGTATCTGAGAGATAATGGGTACTTACTCAGCCTCCAGGTGTGAACTCTGAAGTCATTTAATGGCACAGCCATGGAAATAACAGTAAAATATTAGTAATTGTAAATGCATTTTCGCTAGTTACACATTTGATGAAATCGCAAACTTAAGGAATGAATGAATTGAATTTAATTTAAATGATCATGATATGAACCTTGCCAGATTGTTCCATAAGAACTTGTAACCCATTTTTTAAGCTAACAAGACATCTGGAACCAAACGTCCTTCTCTCTAAAAGTGCCTTTCACTTTTCTTTTCTCTTCACGTAGATGGCCGCCTTGCAGAGTCCATTCTACGGGGACAAAATGAACCTCTACTCACTGTGTAAAAAGATTGAGCAGTGTGACTACCCACCACTACCATCTGACCATTACTCTGAAGAGGTATGTTTCAAGCGCAAGAGATTTTTACACACTTTCTTTTTCTGTATTTCATTCTTCTGAAGTTGCGGTCACATTTAACGTTGTAAGGCAAATTTTCACAGGCAAAATTCAGTCATCTCGATAAGAATCCACGCAATTAGGAAGGCAGATTTCGCAGCAAATTTTAACGCAGATTTGCTGTGATATTTTGCCAAAAATGTGACCTCACCTTAGAGAAGTTCACTTCCAGAATGAACATTTTCTGATGATTTCCTCAACCCCATGTCAGACCGAACACAGACGAAGAATTAACTGTGCGTGACCTTTCCAACATGAGTACGCAATGCGTGAAGTCGCGCATGCGCATTGCAGAGCTGGTGCAAGATGAGTATTTGTGGTTAAAAATATATATTTTTAAGAAAATGACTGAAATTTGAACCTTCAACCCACTGATCCCCATTGAAGTCCACTATATGCAGAAAAATCCTGGAATGTTTTCCTCAAAAACCTTAATTTCTTTGCGACTGAAGAAAGAAAGACATGAACATCTTGGATGACATGGGGGTGAGTAAATTATCAGGAAATTTTAAGTTCTCCTTTAATTGTTGTGACTACATCACATGGAGCATCCGTTCTGTTGTTGTCCTTAACAGGATAGTTCACCCAAAAATGTCAATCTTGTCTTTATTTACTCTCTATCACTCTTGTGACAAGATATTTTGTAGAATATTCCAACAGTTTTGTCCGTACATTGAAAGTCAGTGGGGTCCAAAACAACAACTTTGGACCCTATTGACTTTCATTGTATGTACAAAAAACACTGGGTCGTTTTTTAAAAGTCAAACAGGTTTGGAACAACATGAAGGTGAGAAAATGATGACATAATTACATTTTTAAACTAGTTAGCAGTGTCTAACTTGTAGTTCCCATGCTTGTGAACAGCAAGTTCATACTAGTCCATCAAGTAGACCATCACCAAACCAGCTGGTGAATTTCCAGCACTGCTGGTCTTTCCTCGTAACATGCTGTCACTCTCTGATGTCAGCCATCGAAATCCTCCGATAGATCCAGCACGTCCGACCAAAGCTGCCGTTATTATTATTTACAAGCCTGGCACGACTCATCCTCCATTCAGCACTTCCTTCAGCTTTCCAGAGCTGCAGGAAGGCCTGCCTCCCTCCCTGTCTACATGTAAACAATGCTCCTGAAGGCGAAAGGCAAAAAAGTGTCAGCCGTTCATCTTTGGTGTGTCATTTACTGTCTCCTTGTATCTCACCTGACAGACAGCCCCCCTTAAAACGGGGGGAAAAAACCCGAGACCATCGAACCCCCCGCATTTCTCTCGTGCAAAAGCTTGAATATTTTACATATCTGCATCCTTACTCGCCCCCAATGCCGCCGCCCCCCATTTCTTCACCACTAATTCTCAGACTGTCTGCATTTGCATTTCACATGCCGGGCTGATTAGGAGACGCCGCGCCATGCAACAGCAGCCAGGCCCCGGCAAGAGAGGCGGTTGCCATGGTGATCCGACACAGGGGCATTTTCTTTCCTTCCGCTTTTTTTTCCCCTTTCCCCCCACTTTTAATTTTGCTGCTGCTGCTGCTTGTCTGGGCTCAGTTTATTTCTCAGTGCAGCATCACGACTCTCAATCGCGTCCCTGACCTGACTTTTTTTGTTTTGTTTTTTTGGTCTAGAATGTTTGTAGCGGAGAATTAACAAACATTCGCAGGGCCAGAGGGCTTCTTGCAGGAAGTTACATTGCTTAAAGCATATCCCTCGGCTCTCCTGTTCACTGAGCTCTGAAATGCTTGCCATTTTTGTCAATCATAGGGCTGTCGCGGTGAGGGAATTTCCCTTGCGGTAATTTTGAGTGGCTCAATAGCGCGGTATGCAGTATTATCGCCAGACACATATATATATATATATATATATATAAACACACACACACACACATATATA